GCAGTGAGCCGAGATCCCGCCATTGCACTCCAGCCTGGGTAACAAGAGCGAAACTCCATCTCAAAAAAAAAAAAAGAAAATACAAGGCCAGGAGTGATGGCTCACACCTTTAGTAATCCCAGCACTTTGAGAGGCTGAGGTGGGCAGATCACTTGAGGTCAGGAGTTCAAGACCAGCCTGGCCAACATAGTGAAACTGTGTTTCATTATGGTCTCTACTAGAAATACAAAAATTAGCTGGGCGTGGTGGCACACGCCTGTATTCCCAGCTACTGGGAAGGCTGAGGTTTGAGAATTGCTTGAACTCAAGGGGCAGAAGTTGCAGCGAGGCGATACACGGCTGCTACAGTCCAGCCTAGAAGACAGAGTCTCACTCTGTCTCAAAAAAAAAAGAAAAAAGCAGTATTTTTCTTACAGGTAGGTACAGATTCCCATATACTTTCTTCCCCCATGCATGCACAGCTTCTGTGACTACCAATATCCTGACCAGAGTGGTAAATTAGTTACAATGGATGAACCTACATTGACACATCAGATTAAAAAAAAACAAAAAACAGACACTTTGTTACTAATGAAAGCCTGTGGTTTACAAATGTATACCTATGTGTATCCACGATTAAAATATGAAAATTATTTTTGCTATTCTAAAAATCCTGTGCCTCCCTCCATTAGTTTTTGTTTTGTTTTGTTTGTTTTTTAGACGTAGTGTCTCTGTCTCCCAGGCTGGGGTGCAGCGGCGCGATCTTGGCTCACTGCAACCTCTGCCTCCCGGGTTGGAGCGATTCTCCTGCCTCGACCTCCCGAGGAGCTGGAATTATAGGCATGTGCCACCACGCCTGGCTAATTTTTGTTATTTTAGTAGACATGGGGTTTCACCATGTTGGTCAGGCTGATCTCGAACTCCTGGTCTCAGGTGATCTGCCCACCTGGCTTCCCAAAGTGCTGGGATTACAGGTGTGAGCCACCTTGCCCAGCCTTGTTTTTGTTTTTATTTTCAGATAGTGTCCTGCTCTGTCACCCAGGCTGCAGTGGTGGAGTGATGCAATTGTGGCTCACTGCAATCTCTGCCTCCTGGCTTAAGGGACCCTCCCACCGCAGGCTTCAGAATAGCTGGGAATATAGGTGCACAACACAATGCCGGTACAATTTTTTTGTATTTTTTGTAGAGATGGGGTTGCCCAGGTTGGTCTTGAACTCCTGGGCTCAAGTAATCCACCCACCTCGGCTTCCCAAAGTGCTAGGATTACAGGAGCTACAGCACTCGGCCCACTTTATTTTTTAGAGCAGTTTTGGGCTTCACTGCAACATTGAGCTGAAAAGTATCAAGAGTCCTTTGTACCCCTCCACCCACACAGACACAGCCTCCCTATCAACAGCCTGTGCAGAGTGGTAAATTTGTTGCAGTAATGAATATACAGTGATATATTATCAACCAAAGCCCACAGTTTATGTAAGGGCTTCCTTTTGGTGGTGTACATTCTATGGGTTTTAATTTTTTTTAATAAAGATTTTATTTTTTATGTTTTTTGAGACGTAGTCTCGGGAGTGCAGTGGCGCAATCTTGGCTCACTGCAACCTCCGCCTCCCCAGTTCAAGCAGTTCTCTGCTTCAGCCTCCTGAGTAGCTGGGATTACAGGCACCCGCCACCAGGCCTGGCTAATTTTTTTTTTTTGTATTTTTAGTAGAAACGGGGTTTCACCATCTTGGCCAGACTGGTCTTGAACTCCTGACCTCGTGATCCACCCACCTCAGCCTCCCAAAGTGCTGGGATTACAGGCAGGAGCCGCGGAACCCAGCCAAGATTTTATTTTATTTATTTTATTTTTTTATTTTTTTTGAGACAGAGTTTCGCTCTTGTTACCCAGGCTGGAGTGCAATGGCGCGATCTCGGCTCACCGCAACCTCCGCCTCCTGGGTTCAGGCAATTTTCCTGCCTCAG